GCCTGGACCTGCACTGGCTTCAGCAGGGGGACACGTCTGGCACTGCAGGATTTGATTCCCTGTCGTCGTAGTGTTACTGATGGTAACCTTTGTTACTATGGTCCCAGCTCTCTGCAGGTCATTCATCTGATTTTTGATCACCGTTCTCATGATCATTTTGACCCCACGGGATGAGATCTTGCGTGGAGCCCCAGATTGAGGGAGATTATTAGTGGTCTTGCATGTCTTCCGTTGTCTGATAATTGCTCCCACAGTTGCTCCCACAGTTGATTAAAACAGTCCTCTTTAGTTTAGCATATGGCTAGGAAGGTAAGACTCAGAGAAGGCTAAACTCCTCAGACTGTCAGTCAAGCTGCATAGGGAGTCAGTTTGCTGGGAGAAGTATGGTAACTTGAGCACTATCCTCTCCTCCTTCCTACTTTATCTGTTTAGCATTTTTAGGATTTTGACTGTAGTTTGTTCATTGCTATTCACCCGTTGTCCCATTGTCTGTTTCATGGTACGATGACGGGATCTCTGAGCCTGGCCTCCTCCATCTACACCTGCGGACTGCCCCGCCCGACCCGCCTGGGAGTGCTTCAGTCCTGCACCGGACCTGTCCACGTTCAGCGGCCACTGGTCCACGTTCTGTAGCTAGCTTAGGTCCTAGATCATTAGCCTGTCCGTCCGGAGGAGCGGATCCCTTTCTCAAATGGGTCTCCCTCCCTGTGGGTTTCCCTAGTTCTCCCCAAGGTTTCTCACTTTTTCCCACTGGGTTTTTTAAGAGTTTTTCCTTGTCGATGCAGGAGGGTCTTGTTGGACAGTTAGTGTCCAACAGAAAGGATTGGTGATGATCAGGACACTTTAGCATTCTACAACATGTATGGACATTTTCTTCTGTGTGTGCTTTATATTCTTCATGTGTTTTAACTGTTGATTCTCTGCCCTGTGTTGGTGATTTCAATGGTTTTGTTAAGTCCTCTGAGATTACTTCTGTTGTGACCTAGGGCTATACAAGAATAAATTGTATTGTATTGTATTGTATTTGTTCACACCAAGCTGCTTGCCTATTGTAGATTCCTTCTTCCCAGTCTGGTGCAGCTCTACTATTTTTTTCCTGGTGTCCTTCGACAGCTCTTTGGTCTTGGCCATAGTGGAGTTTGGAGTCTGACTGTTTGAGGCTGTGGACAGGGGTCTTTTATACAGATAACGAGTTCAAACAGGTGCCATTAACACAGGTAACATGTGGAGGACAGAAGAACTTCTTAAAGAAGAAGTTACAGGTCTGTGAGAGCCAGAGATCTTCCTTGTTTGAAGTGACCAAATTATTTTCCACCATAATTTACAAATAAATTCTTTAAAAATCCTACAATGTGAATTCCTGGATTTTTTTTTCACATTCTGTCTCTCACAGTTGAAGTTTACCTATGATGAAAATTACAGACCTCTGTCATTATTTTTTAGTGGGAGAACTTGCACAATCGGTGGCTGACTAAATACTTTTTTGCATGTTTTAATGGCTGCTATTAAGTTACAATCATGTTGAAGTCTTGTGAACAACGTAGTACACAGCTCCTGACTGTGACACACATGATAGTGCAGAGGTCTCCCATCACAGTTCTACCGTAGCCCTGCATTGCTTAGCTTATGAAATTTGACCAGATTAGACATTGAGACAGTAGACAAGTAGGTATAACAGTAAATTCACCACAACAGTCTGATACAGCGACGGCATCACTGCAGAGGCTGCACCGACCGTCTGTCAATCTCACGCCCCATCCTTTCATAAATGTGTGACCTAGAGAGGACCGGGACCTCTGCACCCGAGACCTTTGCACCCAGAGGGGACCAGAACCTTTGCATAAGGAGGGGACCAAGAGAGGTCCAGGACATCTACACCCGGAAAGGTCCGGAACAATATTATTCTCAAAGAGAAATGATTAAATCATGTGGTCCCCAAACTGGACCTCCTACTCTGTATGTGACATTTGAAAACCAAATTCTTGTTCACTCATTCTTGTTACTCACATGGCAGTAGGATCTGTAGGGGCGGTCTAGTCCACAGATGGCTGTGTTGTTCTGAGTGGGACACAGATATGGAGGTTTGCAGTAACACTCCCCATTCACACAGCGCTCCCAGGGCTGACAGAAGATCAGCCCACACGACCGCCGCGTGTAGCTGCACACATGAGCAGAGTAGTTAGCTTGTAGAGTACTACTGGTGGTGGACGCCACTAACCCAGTTAAAGCTGCTGTTGTTTTGATGAGCCTTTGTGCCCCAAGGTGCACACTCATTTCTCTCTTGGGTTGCCGTACGAACAACAGCAAATACTGTCCAAATTCACTTTTGGTTTAACTGCTTACCTCGCCAGATGCCAACTTGGCTCTGAAGGTACCTTCCTTCGATACCTACAATTGCTCCCTATGTGGGATGATTCCTACGAATTTGAACACATGTGTTGTGAGCCCTTCCTTTTGCTCTCCCTCTCCCCTGTTCTGTTTCCTTTTCACTAACACCTGATCACTATTCCAGCAATCACCAGATGCAGCATATGAGGCTATGTGGCAAGCTGGACTTGGCCACCATATTTGTGTCCACTAGCGGGCACATAAACGTAAATAGTCTCAAGTCGCGGCTTTGTTTACGTCTGCACTTCCGCCTCCGGTGTTTCGACGCGCCAGCCTTCTCCTGCTCCAGGTAGTAGAGTTCTAGTGTTCATGCTAATATTTGTAAGTTGCAGCCACTAACGTTACTTGTTGTTGTAGTGCCGCGGTGAGGCCTTGTTGCCCCGCGAGTCCTGCTTTAATATGGCCATGCTGTCCTGTCACTTTGGCGTCTGGCCGCCCTCGTTGCTGGGGTCCGAGCGTAGCCGGCTGTGGGTCTGTGCCTTTAAACCGTCACCCATCAAGGGTGCGCGCGCTGATAGTATTGTGGTTTTTCATAAGCTAACTTGACTTTACTGTAATCTGTAGGCTGGGGACTGGCCACATTGCGGCCCACCACTGTTTCTCCTATTTTTCTTCTACATTCTCTCCCATGTTTCTCCACTGTTTTCCCTCACGCTCCTGAGTCCATCCCGACAGGAAATGTGTGACAATGTGGAAATGTGAAACCTGAAGAACAAAATATACAGCTTATTGTAATAAATCAAAGTAACTTGTATTTGCCTCTGCCTCATTATTATTTGACAAACCTGTGTGGTTATTTTATTATTATTTTGGACACCATTGCCCTGCCATTGTTGGTATTTTTCTTTCTTTTTCTGTAAGAATATGACTTTATGAGCGCATAACCGCCACAAATATATACCCAACAGACCTTGTCTCCAGTACCAGTTCCGACACACAAGCGTACCCTTATGTGGAGCCAGCACCACAGTCAGTCTGTTACCTCCCATGGCTTTCTCCAGTTTTTTGTTTTGTTTTTTGTTCACCATTTTGGGTCCGCCAGTTATTAATCACAACAGTTAGTGAGGGTAAGAGTTAGAATCTCTCACCTTTGGTTTAAACACATTTGTGGCCCCACAAAGTCGTCGTCCGGTACTGGGATAGCTACAGTTGCATTTAAAGGAAAATAAACTTCTGAGTGTTTCATGGGAACAGACTCCTGGGGGCTCGTCTGAAAAGAAAAAAAAATATGTTATGAATTTACAGCCAAGTTCACACCTGGACACTCCATATGATATTGCTGTGGATGGAGCGATAAACCACTCCAGATTTTTGAATGAATAGCATTATTTACAGCATCCAGTAAAGAAGGCATTAGAGACACACATCCAAACGGGACATGTGTGGCTGATCTGAGAAGGCCTGCAGAATGAAAATGAAAAAGCTAAAGTCTGCTTTGCTAGACCTCCGCTGCAGGAGCATGAGAGACAACTTGCTGATCATGGGCTGATGATGGACCATAAACTGTTAATATTAACAGACCTATTGGCATGATGTGGAAAAAACGCATTTGCGGATGTGTTTGCCTCGTTCATTTAACGAGTGAATTCAAAAGTCCACAGTGGCTAAACTAGGCTGGTCCAAAAAAAAAAAAAAAAAAAACTCCCCTCAGCATTGACAGGCATTTGGAACTTAACGTTGAGCCAAGAGCGGACTTTTGTCCAGGCTGTAAAGTCGTTTTCGAGAGGAAAGAATTTGTCGTAAGCATGCACTGGATAATTCTGTTTGCAGGTACGTCATCATCGGCAAGGAGCCAGATGTCAGCATGTCAGCGCACGTGCTCATGGACCCTTTTGAACCGGGACCCCATTGGGACGGACGAGAAGGAGGAAGAAACCTTTTCGGCAGAGACCCTCGTTTGGACTTTTCTACGAGAGCAACTCAGATTGACGGAGGAAAACTTGATTAAGATTCACCTTGAAAGGGTGCACAGACTGGGCCGGCGAGTAAAGTAAAACAAGTCCTATGGTCATAAAATTTTCTACCTCCAGGTGTAAAGATTTTGCCCTTTCAAGAAAGCTAAAAGGCACAAAGTTATCCCACCGAGATGGTGGAAAAGCGACGCTTGTTTTGGACAAAAAGGGCAAAAAGTCAGCATCATCGTGGATAAACATTTTGCCACCGGCAAACTACTGGCTTGACAAACCAAATCAATAGGCGCATATTGATTACGTCATCAGCGCAACATCGCCATAGTAACAACTAGACAGCATTGTTGAGTGGAGCGTTAATTTAATTTGGGACAAGTCAATACTAACCTTGCCTGCAAGCTGAATTCCCGCGGTATTTGTGATTTCACAAACACACAAGAATACAGTACATCTTGTACCGCTCACTCTTACACTTTTCGAGTTGAAAAAGCAAGCAGCGCCGAGCCGAGGAAAAACAAACATGGCCACCCAGCAGGACGGATGCGTAGCTGAGGCTAATCAAGTCAGAATCTCCGATTTATTAATAAAATGAATGATATGATTGGTGCATTTGATTTAATTGGTATCTGGAGACTTAAAAACCCTATGTTAACAAGGTACACATGGAGAAGACAGAATCAAGCAAGTTATAGTTTTTTTTATCACTCTCCATAATAAATAAAATAACATCAGTATCTCTAATGAAGCTAAATTACTTTCAAACCATTATTGTATTGGACTTAAGTTGGCTATTGAGAAAAGTAAACGACCTGGATATTGGAAATTGAACCAAATGTTACTACAGGATGATGAGTTTATTGGAAAAAAACAGCAACTTTAGTAAGTTTCCTCTCCTCTCTGTTTTTGAAGATCTTTAAGGAAACTTTTGTCTTCTAAAAAGATTAAATCAGCATGATCTTTTCTTATCTGTTCACAACTGTAACTCATACAATTTCTGTTGGACAAACAAAGTGCTATTTATGGGAGTAAAAGTAAGGTCCCTCACCTCTAACTTAATTGATTCCAAAGTTTGATTCCATTAAATTAGTTTGGCAAAAGTATGCATATGCTGAAGTAATAAGAATGTTGCACTATTAAGCATGTTCTTTTTTGCAGTATGAAGGGCTATACTCAAGCATGAACAAGTTTTCTTACCGATAAAGTCTGCCACATGAACAATGCCAACAGAAGTCCAACTGCACTCATCCTGTCCCTCATGATTTAAGTAATTTAAAAAACGGCAGAAAAAGTTGAAGATAATTATCCACAGTTGCTTTGTGAATGTGCTGAGAGGTGATTTCACCGATTAGTAATCAATAAGTGGGAGGAGTTTTTACCGTAGGCTGTGGAGATACAGGCTAAACAAACCAAATGTTGGAGAGAGGATCAAAGGGCGTTCAAGAGAAAACACTGGAGGAAGCAAACATGAGAAGTGTTTTAATGTGCTCATTATATTTTAAATAGTAACAGTGATTTAAAGATGTCCAATGCCAGTGTTTATGCTTTTAATCATCATACTTGTTACTAGTTGACATTCACTACACGTACTATAATTAAGTGGATATTATGAACCAAATGTTTCTTGCAGATAGCATTTGTTTCTCTTTTTTGAAATGATTTCAGTTTGAGTAGAACTCTCAATGCTTTCTGAACAAATTCACTGATCTTCATAAATGATAATTTTGGTCACAATTACCGTGAGGTTAGATTTTCATGCCGTAACACCCCTAGAAGGACCTGCAGAGAGCTGGGACCTAGTAACAAAGGATACCATCAGTAATACACTACGCCTCCAGGGACTCAAATTCTGCTTAAGCCAGTACATGCACTGGCCCTTCTGAAGTTTTCTAGATTTGGATGCATCCAGAAGAGGATTGGTATCAATCAATCAATCAAATTTTATTTATAAAGCGCTTTTCATACAAAAAGTGTAACACAAAGTGCTTTACAGTTTAGTTAAAAACAATCCAACATGCCCAGCCCTAAACCCTCCTCCCCACAGACCCCCCAAAACCACATTTATAATTATATATACAACCACATGCGTATACACACACACACATATACACACACACAGACACATATACACACACACACACACACACGTACACAAGTATAAAGTCATATCAGGTAAAATAGGTAAAACAATAAAAAGAAATGGGGCTGGGAGCAGATGTAATCGGCTGAAGAAGCGTCATCCAAGGAGCCATCTGCACCAGGAGCAGAGAGCCGGCTGCAGCCACAGGGAACGACACAGGACCCAGAGGAGAGAGGGGCCCCAGACCCCACCAGGCCCAGGACTCAGACCCCATAGGACCCAGAGGAGAGAGGAGGCCCCAGACCCCCACCGGATCCAAGAGCCAGACCCCCGAAGCCACAGCAGACCCCAGCTCTCAGTGCAGAGGGCTCCTCCAGAGGAAACACTGGGGACACTAAAACAATACAATAATACAATAGAAAGTAGAACAATAAAATGTGACAATAAAAAGAAAAATGGCAGCTGCCTAATATTGATAATAACAATAGTAAATTGGTAGATACAATAAATAATTAAAAATAGTAAATAATAAAAATAAATAAAAATATAATGTGTCTAAAAACATAAATAGATGTACTAAAAAGCAGTAATAAATAATAAATACTAATCAAAAGCTACTCTAAAAAGGTGCGTCTTGAGCCTACTCTTAAAAATATGAACGTTCTCTGCGGCCCTGAGCTCCTCCGGCAGACTGTTCCAGAGACGGGGGCCGTAGTGCTGGAAAGATGCCTCGCCGTGAGTGTGTGTCCTGACTTTGGGGATGGTTAGGAGTCTGCTGCCGGAGGAGCGCAGGGCCGGGAAGGTTCATAGGATAAAAGCAAATCTGAAAGATAAGAAGGCCCAAGACCATTAAGACATTTAAAAACCATTAAAAGAACCTTAAAATCGATCCTGAAACACACGGGGAGCCAATGCAGCGATTTTAAAACCGGTGTAATGTGGTCCCACCCCCTGGTCTTAGTCAGGACACGTGCGGCCGAGTTTTGAAGTAATTGTAAACCTGAAATGTTCTTTTTGGGAAGACCAGAGAGCAGGGCATTACAGTAGTCAATGCGACTGGTGATAAAAGCATGCATCAGCGTCACCGTGTTGCCCCGAGAGAGAATGGGGCGGACTCTGGCGATGTTCTTTAAATGATAAAAACCTATTTTTGTGATGTTCTTGATGTGAGGAATAAAAGTCAGCTCAGAGTCAAAGATTACGCCCAGGTTTCTCACTTGTGATGATGGATTAAAAGAGTGTGATTGGAGTTTCGGTAAAAGTAGAGTGTTATATGGTCAGATGAAACCAAAATAGAACTTTTTGGTAATAATTCAACTTATCGTGTTTGGAGGAGAAAGAATTCTGAGTTGCTGTGTGCGTGGACCGGGTCGCCGAGGTCTAAGCCTTCGACTGCTGGCCCACGTCGTCCGTTCGGGCTGGACCCTGTGGGCTAAGGCCCGGCCACCAGATGCTCGCATTCGAGCCCCAACCCCAGGCCTGGCTCCAGGGTGGGGCCCCGTATGCGCCATGCCGGGCGATGTCACGTGTTTTTGTCTGGTGCTATCCATGGCCGGTCCCGGCGACAACCCCCGAACCCTGTGGTGGACACCGGGAGTAAGGGATGCCGTCAGGCTGAAGAAGGAGTCCTATCGAGCCATGATGGTTTGTGGGACTCCTGAGGCAGCTATCCGGTACCGGCAGGCCAAGCGTGCCGCAGCCCGGGCTGTGGCAGAGGCAAAAACCCGGGGCTGGGAGGAGTTTGGAGAGTCCAGGGAGCATGACTATCGGTCTGCCTCGAAGAGATTCTGGCAAACCATCCGGCGCTTCAGGAGGGGCAAGCAGTGCTTTGCCAACACAGTGTGGAGAGCTGCTGACCGCGACTGGGGATATTGTCGGGCGGTGGAAGTAATACTTCGAGGTTCTCCTCAATCCCCCCGTCACGTCCGAGGCAGAGACTGAGGATGTTGGGGAGTTCGCCCAACCTGTCCACATGTGTTTTGCGGATTTGGAGAAGACCGTGTTCTCCGGAAGTATGGGGTCAGGGGTCCTCTGCTGAGGGCCGTCCCGTCCCTGTATGACCGGAGCCAGAGCTGTGTTCGCATTGCCAGCAGTAAGTCAGACCTGTTCCCGGTGCATGTTGGCCTCCGCCAAGGCTGCCCTTTGTCACCAGTTCTGTTCACTGTTTGTATGGACAGAATTTCTAGGCGCAGCCAGGGGCCGGAGGGGGTCCGGTTCGGGGACCACAGGATTTCATCTCTGCTGTTTGCGGACGAAGTTGTCCTTTTGGCTCCAACGAACCAGGACGTGCAGCATGCACTGGGACAGTTTGCAGCGAAGTGTGAAGCGACTAGGATGAAAATCAGCACCTCCAAACCCGAGGCAATGGTGCTCGACCGGGAAAAGGTGCTTTGCCCTATCCAGATGGGTGGAGTGGTCATTCCTGTGGATGAGTTCAAGTATCTCAGGGTCTTGTTCACTAGTGAGGGATGGAAGGATGGAACGTGAGATTGACAGGCGGATCGGTGCAGCGTGCGTAGTGATGCGGACGCTGTATCGGACCGTCGTGGTAAAGAGGGAGCTGAGCCGAAAGGCAAAGCTCTCGATTTACCGGTCAATCTTTGTTCCCTCTCTCACCTATGGTCATGAGCTTTGGGTAATGACCGAAAGAACGAGATCGCGGATACAAGTGGTCGAAACAAGCTTCCTCCGCGGAGTGGCTGGGCGCTCCCTTAAAGACAAGAGTGAGGAGCTCCGACCCACGGGAGGAGCTTGCAGTAGAACAGCTGCTTCTCCACGTCAAGAAGAACCAGTTGAGGTGGCTCGGGCATCTGTTCAGGATGCCTCCTGGACGCCTCCCTAGGGAGGTGTTCCGGGTACGTCCCACTGGGAGGAGGCCCCGGGGAAGACCCAGGACACGCTGGAGGGACTACGTCTCTTAGCTGGCCTGGGAACGCCTTGGGGTCCCCCCGGACAAGCTGGAGGAAGTGTGTGTGGATAGGGAAGTCTGGGCGTTCCTCTGACAGGGGTGTAACGTCAGCCGACACTAGTGGTACTGTCGGAGGTCCTAATAATGAATAATGATGCATCGGTTTTATATAGCGCTATTTTGGACACTCAAAGACGCTTTACATGTCATTATTCTTTCACTCCATACACGGTGGTGTTAACTACTGCTGTAGCCACAGCAGCCCTGGGGCACACAAACAGAAGTGAGGCAACCAGTATGTGCCATCGGCCTCTCCGACCACCACCAACCATTCACACACACACCAGACTTATTCTAGGTAATGGGGGTGAAGTGTCTTGCCTAAGGACACAACGGCAGTTCGGCACTTCACAGCCGTAGCCGCCCCACTGTGGCATCTGGTGTTCCCAGAGGTTAAATGTCTTGCCAAGGACACAACGACAGCAGACAGTGGGAGTCGATGGTGAAAGTCTTGAGGTGGACTCGAACCCACAACCTTCTGGCTCAAAGGCCAATGCTCTACCAACTGAGCTACTGTCGCCCTACTGTCGTCCTGTTCTTTCCAGTTCAATAATGTCCTCTTGTTCAGGTCTGTCCAGTATCTGGTCCACATGCCTACGCACTATGGTACCATCTCCTAACATGACTTTGTAAGACACAGGGCCGGTGACTTTGTTAATGAAGCCTTGGATCCACTTGGGTCCATAACTAAAGGTTCGTGTGATGACTGCATCTCCGATTAAGAAACTTCTCACTGATCTTTGTTTGTCATGATGCTTCACCTGAACGGTTTGCTTCCGTTCCACCTTGGATCTAAGGTCAGGATGCACTAGATCCAATGTTGATCTTAACCTACGGCCTTGTAGCATTTCAGCGGGTGATAACCCTGAGTTCGACTGCGGGGAAATGCGGTAATTTAACAGCACTCTCGAAACTTTACTCTGGATATTTGCTTCACCCGCCTGTTTCATCAGCCACTTGAAGGTCTGGATTGCCTGCTCGGCACAAAACGATCCAATATCCGACACAACCGCTCTCGGGTAACCCTTGACTGCTGAAACTTTTCCGTAGACATTCGATCGTGTTAGCTGAAGTTGCTGTCGTAACAGGGTACGCGTCCATCCATTTTGAATGACCATCCATTAAGATCAAAAACATATGACCCATGATTGGTCCTGCATAGTCTATGTGTAGCCTTTGCCACGGTTTGCTTGGCCACTCAAGGGTGAAGGGGTGCCGGAGCAGGTAAGTTGCGATTTTCTTGACACGTGCTGCATCCCTTTACCACTGCCTCAATGTCTGCATCTAGCTTTGGCCACCAAAAGTAGCTACGTGCTAAGGCTTTCATTTTGGTGATGCCTGGGTGACCATGATGCAGCTTTGGCGAATCAAAGTTCCCCAACCTGGCAGGGGCACCACCACGCGTGACCCCCACAATACACAACCATCTTGCACACTTAACTCTTTTTCCCTGACAGAATAAGGTGGGAATGCTGGGTCTGACTGCTGTGACGGCCAGCTATGTTGCCGAACTCCGAAAAAAAAAAGGGTCTTTACATGCCCACTGGCTCAATTCGGTTGCTGACACCAGCAACGCGTCCTCCATCATCAGCACTCGATCCTCTTGCACTTTCTCTGTCGATGGCTGCAACAGAGGCAGTCGGCTCAGCGCGTTTGCGTTGCTGTGATATTTCCCTGGCTTGTAGACAATCTCATATTCAATGCTCTCAAAGTCACCGCCCACCTTTGGATGCGAGGGGATGCCATTTGAGGCACAGCTTTCAACTCATTGAAAAGTGACAATAGAGGTTTGTGGTCTGCGGAAATGACAAACCTCCTTCCAAACAATTACTTATGGAAACGCTGAATTCCGGACATCCCTGCCAGTCCTTCCTTGTCCAGCTGTGAATAGTTTGATTCGGCTGGCATGAGTGTCCGTGACATGAAGCCAATAGGTCGCTCTTGCCCGTCTGACATCCGGTGTGACAACACCACCCCCACACCGTAGGTGACGCATCACAGGACAATAATAAGTCTTCATGGCTGTCATAATGCACAACCTTTGACGACCACAAGAGTTTTAGACTCCCTGTGACGGAGCACCAGTGACGGCTCCGTCATAGACCGTGTTCTGCTCCCTCTCCCTACTCTGAGGAGAGGAGCAAGTCTGCGCGTGCACGTGGCACGTGCGTGTAGCACAAACATACTTGCAGGTCTGTGCTTGTGACCGTATAGCCCTGCATCTACAGACTCCATCCATCCATCCATTTTCTTCCCCTTAATCCATTTCTGGGTCGGGGGGGTGGAAGTTAGAGCTGGACCCAGTACACATGGCACCAGCCCCTCACTGATCCTCCTGCAGGTGGTGAGTCCACAGGAGCTGAGATCTTTCAGTTGGGGCTTTGGGCAAAGTAGGGTTAGATACGATAGCAGTCATCAGTGGGAGTCGTGAAGTAGGTCTTGCGGTGGGCTTGAACCCACGACCTTCAGGCCCAGAGGCCAATGCTCTACCAACTGAGCTACTGTCGCCCTAAATCTACAGACTCTCCCCCGCCAAAACTGTCCCATGTAGCGCACAAGGGTGCACACTTGCCACCTACACACTCATATCATCATGTCCCCCATACACACCACTTACCTGCTGCCGTTGTCTTGGTCCACTGGCCAAACGGAGACACTTCCTGGTAAACCCATATATGGCGCATGGTTGCGCGCATGTGGCGGGCCAGAGGACTTTGATTTTGTAACTTTATTAAACTGTGTCTTTTTATATTTGTTTTGCCATATTACATGGAAGTTAAGAGGCATGTTCACACTGGCGAACAGGGGGGGAACAATGTGTAATATTCCTTTGTATTTCTCTGTGTTTAGAAAAAAACCCTATTCAATTTGTAATGGATTAGCCCAGGGGCGGGGCTGACCACTTAAAAGGAATGTGTTCTCACTCCTGGGGAGGGGTCAGTCTGTGAGAGTCTGAGATTGAGCTGCAGTAGTGAGCTGAATTGTGCTGGCTGTAAGTCCTGTTTTTTTTTTCCCCCTGCACTGTACATATTTTTTCCACTGTTCACAATTTTGGGGTATGTAAATAAAACCACCAAAATATATTTTTCCAACTGAGCCATAATTTTTTCCCCATCATTTTTAAACAAACCCTCACATTTGGTGTCAGACGTGGGATGGCTAGTCGGCATGGGAAAATGAAGACTTTTGCTAAGCGCCCAGGACTGCGCTCTGGGAAGAAAGATGACTCAGCCTGGGTCATAGACGAGGAAGATGCAGGGGGCGCTACTGCTCATCACCCTGCCCGGCAACCAAGACCGGGAGAAGCCAGCACGCAGGAGATGCTCGCCATGATACGGTCCTTCATAGAGGGGCAAGAGCGGCGAGAAGACTGGTTCCTGGCAGAGCTCAGGGGACTGAGAGACTCTTTCCCTGTACCAGACTGTACCAGGTCGCCATCAGAGCAGTAAGGGCAGGCTCCTTTTGTGGCACCGGCACCTGCCACAGCTGATCAGTGGCATGTACACAACAAATGGCGTTTATAACGGCATGTGGACAACAAGTGGCGTTTAAAACGGCATGTGAACAACAAGTGGCGTTTAAAACGGCATGTGGGGAATAAATGGGGTGTAAAGCGGCATGTGGACAATAAGTGGTGTTTAAAACGGCATGTGGGGAATAAATGGCGTGTAAAGCGGCATGTGGGCAATTTAAATGCCGTTTAAAACGGCATGTGGACAACAACACAACCCCTTCATTCTGATCATTTAGTGTCCGTGAACTCATTACACTGTTCTCTACACTACTCCAATAGACCTCGACAGAGACAGCTGCAGCCGCGATCCGCGACTACCTCTGCTCAGTGACAAAAACAACGCAGAAAGTAAAGAGAAAGGGACCATAGCGATCACTATCACTGACATGCGAGATTTCACACAGGATAAGTTTATTACAGGATGTTGTGGACAAATACAGGGGTCCATTTGCGTATTAAATTAACAAATTTAGAGCGAATAGGGCTGAAGTAAACAGATACTATAATTCACTGATACATTTGCAGACAAAGGCCCTTGTTCCTGCACAAAGAGCCTTCACTTTCACATGACCTTCGCTGAGGCGACGGTACCAGTACCACTCCTTTGCTCGTTATAATGTTAAATATTTGACAGGTGTACTATCATTCTTTTGCCCTCCCTTCTTTTACCTTGTCTTCCTGCATAACTCAACCCACCTTACCCCCACTGTTGGCATTGTCTTGTTCTTTGTTCTAGCTTTTTGCAGGACTAAATTACCAAATGTTAGATGTGAGCAAGACCAGAGAAGAGACACAGCTTTGAGTGTGCGTCTGCAGAGTTTATTGTATTTGTTTATTCTCATAACCTTTTAAATAAATTGCACAAAGACAGCTTTTTCTCTTGGATCCTTCATGAAGATTTAAATTTCCACACAACGCAAAAGTACACGACCCTATTAAACTGCATTTCCTGTATTTTGGTCAAGCCCAAGTTTCAGCATGAAACATAAGATCAAGATTTATAAAACACATAAAATTAATGATTAAAAAAGATTTTTTGGGGTTACAAAGAATCTGACATTTAGCATAGCAAGTTTCAAAGTTTCATATCAACAAATACGTAACAAGAATTCGATTTTCCAGATTAGACTGCTTATCTTCAGATGTTTATTTCTGTTATGTACTCTTTGTGTTATCACTAAGGGAATTGCACTGGTGGCTTCATGACAGGGCCCCAGCCGGGCTCTTGCACTACCTAATTGCCAGTGGGCTGCGATGCAGAGACCACTTGCATCCTTGTGTTTAGTGATAAGAGGAGAAGGGGAAGCGGGGGAGGAGGGTGGAGAGTGGGTGGTTCTTGGGTGGTAAAGCAATCCTATATGAGGTTTTACACCGAATACACTTGAAAAACTGAAAGACTAGGGTACATTTAGCTCATTCTTAGTGGTGTTAAATACACCCTGTGTAGAAATTTGGTCCATATGCTTTGCTTTGAACTTTTTATATGAATAACTATTGAAAATATTTTCCTTTTGTTTTCGTTGGTTCTTTCCCAAGTCTTTCTGTCATACATTTTTTAAGTGAGGTTAGATATGATTCTTCATGATAAGTTAGAAGTTTGTAAAGTTTTTAAATTACTCCTATTCTCTGGCTTAACAAATAATATCAAATTCTCCAATTTGACACCTCTCCTGCTATTTTGTTTTTTGCTCGTCAGCTATAAATACAGTGTCAAAATTGTAAGTACTTATAGAAATTTGTGTTTAGGTATCTCAAATACTTCCTTATATCAGAGAATTCTTTGAGAAAGTCATTTTAAATAAGTTGATTAATTGTTTTATTCCCATAGATCCCAATTTGATAGTAAATGATTCCTATAAGAGCCTGGGGAGGTCAGGATTTGAGAAGAGAGGACGCCAGTCTTGAGGATAAGCGTTGAAGACCACAATGCCTTTTCACCTCTTGCCAAGCACACGGATATTATAGATCAAAATATTTTTTGTTACAGAAGGGATCATTTTCATATATTAAGTGAATGGTATCGGAGCTCAGAGAAAACTGCAGAGTTAAGTTCTTTTTCATATGCACCCAGTGGGTTGGTATTTTGTTTATCAAACCAACAGCATTGCGTTACTTGACATGACCAATAGTACGCCTGGAGTCTGGAAGGTCCAATCCACCCCTTTTCTTTTGTGATTATGCTATAATGTCATGAGTGCTATTCTAGGTGTTCCTTTTTTCCAAATAATGTATTTAAATACTTGTTTAGGAGTTTGATTAAACTATTGTATCAATATAGCATGGTAGTGATTGATTATAGATAAATAAAGCGAGGAGAATGTTCATTTTAATAACATTGTCTGCCAATTAGGAGAAGGGGAGGAGATTCCAGTGGATCCAGTTAATCTTTGATTTTTCTAAGTAGAGGCATATAGTTATTTTCAAAGAGGTCATCGAGTTTAGAGGTTACATTTAGCTCAAATAGCTCACAAATAAAGTTCTAAACATGCATCTCAAAACATAAAACTCACTCATATTGCCACTCAAAGGGATAGAAGTGAGTGGATGGCTTCTGATAGACAACACCTCATGGTTTGTTCACAGCACAGGTTTGTTTACTTCTGCCCCACCTACAAACCAAACTTAAAACAATCCCCAGAACAAGCGCCCTCTAGCGGTCAGGAGTAAAAATGACATGCTGTAACAATACAATTTCTGTGATCTGTGTTTGAAATCTTTTTTCTAATCTATGATAGTAATTTTAGTATTTGAGCCATAAAATATTAAAGTCCAGATACTATAATTGACACTTTACTGGGAACACACCCAGATGCATACATACACACCTCTCCAGTGCTCTTCTCCAGATGAACGCAAGTGTTGTTTCTGTTTTCAGAGCCGGAGCCTGTTCCTCCTGCTGCAGAGTGAGCCCACCCATAAGACTGCATCCAGAGCAGCAGGTTTGAGGCTGCATACTGATCAATACAATTACTGTTTCTTTCCTTGCTCTTGTGTCTTTCGATATTTTAAGAAGACTTTAAAGGTCCCATTTTTCTCTTTTTGACTTAAACCTTATTACAGTGCTATTTGGTCTTCATACACATGCACAGAGTCGTTTTTCATTGTTTCCTTCAAGCTTTAATTAGATATTGTCGAGAGGCAGCGAAACACCCGGGTGCATATCTGTGACGAACACAACATCGAGGACGAGGATGATGTAGAAGCCCGTATCCCTTTCAAACGGTTCTAAAATAATGTTGTCAAAACAGGGAAAACAATACACAATAAATAAATATAATAACAATAATACAAAAAAAATCTTAATCAAAATAACGAATCACAGCCTCTCTCAAGTTCAGCGTATGGTCTATGGTAAGGTCCCGCGTCCCACCACAGGACGCCATTTGGTTTTCTGCTTTTGTCAGCAACTAAAAGTGTTACGGGGCCAACGGTAAAACGCTGAAGCCCCGCTCACCAGACGCGCATTCTCTAGTTTTCAGACGCAGAGGTCTTCACATCAGAACGTCCTGACGCGAGCCGGAAGTACCGGAAGTAGCCGGCCGGCTCTGATGTTAACAGAGCTATGCTAGCGGCTTCTTGTGTACAGATCTTCTCCAATATGCAGCTTTGCCGCGTGTCTTTGCTCACAGACATTCCACGGGCTTTATATACCAGCAGTATGTGTTCACGGAGGTGCGCCATACGTTTTTTCATATTATTAAACGGAATTTCCGCATCGGCGAACACACTCGAAGCAGTTGCATAAGGTCACGGGAGCATGACAACGCATATTTTCACAAGCACAGAGTCCCCCATTGTCAACCCTGGTTTGAGTTCTGGTGAAGCCTGGTGTGGGTCCTGTTTTGGCTGTTTATGAGTATTTTCAGTCTGCTCGCTCAGTCCGCTAATGTCCCCGTGACCACTTTGCTGCTCTATGATTTGTTGTCGCACGAACGTCCCAAGGAAAGGATGAGCAGAATCCATCTCCTGTGGGCGTCGATTTTTCGCCCCTGCTCCTCCCTTTTCACTTTCCCGCCAAGTCCGTGCGTCTCTACTGAACAGTCCGTTTGTGCGAACCGAGCGGTCTGTGCGTTGCGACGGCCGAACGCAAAGACTTTGCATTGAAACCCGACGCAACGCATGATCCGGTCTGAAAGCACCATTAGGATGCTAACAATAATGTTCATTGTGTTTATTGTGTGCAGGTGTCTTCTCTCACTACATGCTGCAGGCTTCACCGTCTTTGTCTCTGCTGCTTAAGCCAGTGGTCTCCAGAGAGCTGCTATTGCCCTGCTCCGTGCCCCCCTGCACCCAGGAGCCCTGCCCCGAAGCAACCAGTACTGTGCAGGTACCAACAAACCTACACCGCACATTATTTCTTGGTGGCAGCTGGCAGAAAACAGCTGTCTCCATGAGGTCACCGTCTGGGGATTTGTTATAACGCAACATGTTTGAAAAAGGAGTGTTGGGACAGAAGGTTTGTTTGAGGGGCTAAAAACAACTCCAAGTTTGTTTTAATGAGGGGGCATGGATGGGAATTGACACTTTTACGTATTTGCCCAATAAAGTCACTGCAAGGGCAGGATCGCAGTCAAGTGAGCAGTAAGTTTGAGCCTTAAAGCCACCCTATATAATTTGTACAGCTGCTCCATATTCACACTGACAATAATGAGAACGAGGCAGAATCTGCAACTCAGTCCCAGGATGTTCTGACCCAATCAGAGCGCAGTCCAACTACTGTCACACGTTTCAACTAAACGTATTCAGGGACAAAGCGTCAAATACAGTAAACACACAGAATCCCCACAAAACAATCACCAGAATACTTTATCAGCAGCGTGAGTGAATGTTCTGTTTTCCTACCGTGATTCAGATATGGCGCTGTGGCTATTGCTAAAGCTAACATGAGCTTTTAGCTATGTCCTGCCGCGGCTGTGTGTAAGTCCTGCTTCTTTGATGATCGTAGTTTTAAGCTCCCACAGATGTTATTCCTCCTTCCATCTCTTCTCTTCACACGCGTTTGTAAAACAATATATTATAATAGATCCATGCTATCCATGGTAAAACGCCTCGGTGAAGCGGGTGCCACGTCAGAACGCTGCCTTGTTTACATGTCGCCTCCACGCCACTGTGCCCGAGACGTTTGGAGAGATCCGGTTATCAAACTAAAGTATTCTTTCCTTGGCAGTCTAGTGAATGACTGACAATTGAGGACTGACAGTTGAGGAGCACTGTCAAACACAGTGCTCCTCAACTTGGAGACATAGAGATATAGAGTTGCTAGTCATTAGCATGAGGCCCTACTATCTGCATCTGGAGTTTAGCCATGTTATTGTCGTAGCGGCCTACATTCCCCCATCAGCCAAGGCTAAGGATGCGTGTGACCTTTTGCACTCTGCTGTCAGTAATCTACAGACCCTGCACCCCCAAGCTCTGTCTCTTATCACTGGGGATTTCAACCATGCAAATCCCCAAACTGTACTTCTCACATTCACCCAGTACATCAACTTTCCCACAAGAGACAATAGAACTTTGGATCTCTTCTTTGCCAATGCCACAGGGGCATACAACCCAACTGCCCTCCCCCCTCGGCTGCTCTGACCATAACATTTCCCACCTACGGCCTGTGTATACTCCCATCGTACACAGACAACAAGCCATTCCCCGGCTTGTCCAAAGGTGGACTGTGGAGTGTGAACACAGGCTGAGGGACTGTTTTAACTGCACATTGTGGGACGAACTGTGTGACCACGGGGACAACATCAATGCCATCACAGAATGCATAAGGGATTACATCAACTTCTGTGAAATCGCGGTGCCTTCCAAGATGGTACGATGTTTCTCCAACAACAAGCCGTGGATGAACGCTGAGATTAAGGCCGTGCTGAAGTAGAAGAAGAGGGCCTTTCTATGAAAGGACAGACAGGCACTGAAGGAGGTACAACGGAGACTGAGGTTGAACATCAGGAATGCGAAGGCCCGCTATAAGAACATGATAGAGGAACAGCTGAGCCAACAGAATGTGGCAGGGGTTTGGAGGAGCCTGAAGGAGGGCTTCAAAACACCCCCTGTCCAGCCTATGGGGGACCTCTAATGGGTCAATGATCTGACCAACTTCTTCCTACATTTTGATCAGAGACCCACCCCTCCCCCAGCTCAGTTGCATGTCCTAGCCGCCTCAGCAGTGGATAACAGCCCAGTCGTTGACACCTCCGTCAGTGCGCCACGGCCCCCTTCCCCTCAGACACATAGGCCCAGTTTACACGGAGACACTGCAGTAGTAAAACGCTATAGTTGGATGTCGGTTGCTACCCCCCGTTCATACGAAGACTGTGTTCAGATCCAGCCTGCAGAGTGGGATAGCTCAGATACGCTGATCACACCCGCGTAAGGAAAAAGGTGTGAATTCCCTGCCTGATCTGACCCCCACCTCCCCACTGCTCCCCGCACGTACATTTGGACATGCGCAGTAGCCGAGAACAAACGTAAAGAACAATGGCGGCGGGTAAACTAACTAGCTATGTGTGCTTCGAGTGCTACACAGAGGATAATTCTACTCCTTCGTTCGTCCTAACGAGACCATGCGAAGCTCTAGTTTCAGTTTCCATTTTCGCAGCTGCTGTTAATTGTAGAATGATGTTGGTGCATCTTTCACGTCTTCCAGAGGAAGTGAGTATACTGCTGGGGGGATGCTGGGGCTCACGTGTGTCGTGTTGTAAAGTTCCTCTGCCCACTACTGTCCGGGTGCTAGAACTACATCGTATTTGTAGTATGTGAAATTTGCATTAGGAGCCTGCTTCTTTCTGTTAATAGCCTGGAAACGTCTGCGCAGCGCCTCCGTATAAACTCAGCCATAGACTCACCCAGCCCCCCAGTCCTCCACTTTCTTTCACAACTGCTCAAGTCAGAGGTATGATGAAGAAAACCAAGACCAGGAAGGCAGCAGGACCAGACCATGTTAGCTCCAGGCTCCTCAGCTCCTGCGGGACTACGCAGGATTATGGGGCACGTCTTCAACCTGAGCCTCAGGCTGAGGTCTGCACCATGGCTCTGGAAGACCTCCTGTGTGGTGCCAATGCCCAAGAAACCACGGGCGAAAGATCTCAGCGACTTCAGGCCGGTGGCTCTAACATCCCACTGCCTGAAGACACTGGAGAGTGTCCACTCTCATCGATGCACCCGCTGCAGTTCGCGTACCGACGGGGCATCGGAGTTGAGGACGCCATCATCAACCTCCTCCACCGCTCGCTGTCCCACCTAGAGAAACCTTGATCCGCTGTGAGGATCCTCTTCTTTGATTTCTCCAGCGCCTTCAACACGGACAACTGTGTTGTGTGCTCCCTGTGTCTTTTTATTTGTTTTATTTTTTTATTCACTTTTACCTATTTATTGTTGTTAATGCTGTTTTATTTTATCTTTTTAGTGTTTTTATTGATTTTACATGGATTATATTTATTGACTGGTTGAGCTACATGGAGTTTTTTTGTGTACTTTTCTTTTTTTTTGTGCAGCACGTTGGAACTGTTCTGTTGTTTAAATGTGCTATAGAAATAAAGTGGATTGGATTGGATTAGAATGATTGAACCGGGAAGCACGGAGGAACAAGACTTTCTTTTGGATGGCTGTTTCGCTGTGTAAGCAGAAACCGGTAACAAAGACACGGCAAGTCTCCGGTTAGCCTCTGCCACTTGTTCACCTTAGCTGTCTGTGCTAACCAGAGACCTGTGGCTTTTCTCAAGAAAGAAGGGGCCAGTGGTCCGCTGTGATTGGTCACAATCGGGACCCGAAACAAATTCTCTTCCTTGTTTCACCAAAACTCAATCTAAAATTAAATGACACACCAGCACAAATCTGCGCTACTTATTATTCAAAAGGACGTAAATCCAAATGCATTTCTCGGATATGGATTGAATTTTTGTAATGAATGCAAAAATAAAGTCAGTTAGTGCAGCTTTAAAGTTGCTTTCACACCGCCAAGCTGGAACGCTGAATCCTCGCTCACCAGACGCACATTATCTAGTTTTCAGACACAGGGGACTTCACACCAGAAGTCCTGGCGCGCGGCCGAAGTGGCGGAAGTAGCCGGCGGGCTAGCTAACAGAGTTAAGCTAGCGGCTTCTTCTGTAAAGATCTTCTGCAATAATGCAGCTTTGCAGCGTGTCTATTTTCAGAGACCTTCCACAGACTTTATATAACAGTAGTATGTGTTCACGGAGGTGCGCAAAAAGTTTATTTTATTATTAAAGGGTACTTCCGCATCGGCGAACACGCTCGAAGCAGTTGCATAAAGTCACGGGAGCATGAAAACTCACATGTTAACAAGCACTATGTCCCCCTTTGTCAACCCTGGTTTTAATCCTGGTGTAGCTCCTGTTTTGGCTGTTTACGAGCATGTTCAGTCTGCTCACTCAGACCTCTAATGTCCCCGAGACCACTTTGCGGCTCTCTGATTGGTCGCTGCACGAACGTCTGAGGAAACGCTCAGCAAAATTCATCTCCTGCGTGCGTCAATTTTCCGCTCCTGCACCTCCCCTTTGACTTTGCCGTGCAGTCCGTGCGTCTCTACTGAGCAGTCCGTGAGTCCATTCCGAGATGCTCATGTATTTTGACGCTCGAACGCGCGCCACCACTGACTTCGGATTGTAAGCCGACGCAACGCATGATCCAGTCTGAACGCGGAATAAAGGTGCCATATTTTGCTTTTCTTCATTTTTGTCACAGTCCATCCTATGCACATGTGTGATAATAATTTGGGTGATACACAATACAACCCTCAAAACGCGTCAAATTATAGCCATTTCGTGCATCAGCTCATGTGAAACGTTTGGATCAGTGACCCTCTGCCTGTGAGCCCACCTCCCCCGCGCACATGGTGACGTAGCATCACGCTTTGAGGGAAACAAAAGCTAAATGTACAGCTTTATTCAGTACAGCAGTAATTTCACATCTGAGAATAAACTTTATCCAACGATGGAAACTCGTCACATAGAGTCCTATGACCTCGATCCAGAATCAGACACTAATCATTTAGTTCACAGTGACATACAGCGAGTTAGCATCACTGTACTCACAGACCGAGGCTCCCGTTAACGTCTTTTACGTTGAACAGGTTTCCAGAAAAACTTTTGAGTAGGTCCCATTTCAAGGTAGCCACAGTTCTGGATCAGTCTTTGGTGGTGTCACGTCACTCGCAAAGATAAGACTTGCAGATATGAGGCAGATCCCCGTGATCAAAGTTGATCCCCATTCTCCGTCTTTGGGCCAAATACTCTTGACCCATATTTACACCAACAACACATTTTCAAGTTGACATGAAGCTAACACAAAAAAGCACAGACGCTTATTTACTGTCTAGGGACCACACGGTGGACTGGGTCAGAGGCTGCATGGGCCGACCATAGACGGTGCTGATTCACTGGTTCAGTTTCTCCCCACTGTCAATCACCTCTTGGAGGTGGGCTCGTTTCTGTGCTTCTCGAGAATGAAAGAGAAAGATTGCTCTCTAACTAAAGCTTGACGGAATCAATGAAAAAAACTACTCTGGTCATGTGAATGTAGGTCAAATAGAACTGTAATCATGTTTAAACCAGAGGAAAGTCAAAAAGTGTAATATGAGACCTTTAATGCCCGACTCCATCCGTTTTGTGTGTGTGTTCTACAGGCCAGTCTGCAGCAGCTGGATGAGGAGTCTGTGTTCAACCCTCTGCTCCTCAACAGTAACCTCTATGTGCAGCTTCGGAGCCATGGCCTGCTGTTCCATGGCAGATACACATACAAGTACTAATGCACACAAGCACTGCATTCTGGACCACCATAATGCACTGAGAATGTTTACAAATCACTATTGAATTCCAATTTGCCTATAACTTTGCAAGACTTATGTATGTGTACCTTTGTGCTGTGATTTAAAAAGTTTGCACTGCATGTAACCTCATAAACCGGATACAACTAAGATAAGGCCAACAGATGCATATAGAGCGCAGGAAAAATGAATGCTAATATTTTGATGTTTGTGATGAGCTTGTGTGAAAATCAAATGGTCAAAGTTTAAAATGTGCGCTTTGCCAACAGTGTGCTTATAAATCCTCTTAAACAGCATCCCCAAAGGGCCACAAACAATGTGCTATATTAAGGTTGCAGTCACAAGCACAACCTAAAGTCTGCATTAGATCCAGGCTTTAGGTGCCATCTGACCGCAGCAACTGGGCTTAAGCATTCTTGCATCAAACGTGCTTGGGCACAGTTGAAAGTGTTGGGCCTGAGCACGGTTGTAAAGCCCAGATGAGGGGGGTTAATGTGGTGGGCGTCCAGGGGGGATGCGTTGCCTATGGGGTATAAGGCCCAGTCCCAATTCTGAGGGCCCTCGAGGTGTGAGTGCCCTCACCAGAAAAATGCCTTCCCATAGGTGAGTGCACTCACAGGATATTCTCCCTAATGGTGCGTTCAGACCAAACGCAAATTGAGCGGCCAAATCGTGTCTGAAGCGCGTCTTGGGGCACTTGTGACAAATTGTGGCAAACGCTGTCACAGAGCAACTTGGCCGCGCGTCAGGCGACAGGACACTAGAGGGCAGACGCTGTCACAGAGCGTTCAGAGCGTTTTGGGGCTGGGCTTCTCCAACTCAACAACTCCGAGGGAAGGACACAGCAGCCGAGAGCAGGTAAAAACTTTATAATACCCTTTGTTTAGGACATAAAAGTTATTTCTAATAACATTTGGGGCTAGAAATGCCCCCCTCTATTGTCATATCAGAGGTCTGTTTGATGATGAAATAGAAAATAGTCGGGAATTTCTTCCAGGGTAAGCCCCGGGTGCTAGCAACTAACAGCGGGGGTTGGGCAGTGCTGCAGCCCCTGGACAGAGCGTCGGAACGCGGGGGCACATTTTTGAGCTCCCCTGATGTTTAAATTCTTAATTACAGTCTTAATTATAAAAACCCAAAAACGAGGCTTCTGTAACGGACGTTCTCTGTTATAACAAATGTATTGGCAGTAATCATTCGTTTTTACAAAGTGATATTTCATGTCACAAAACATCACATGTATGTAACAATGCACATACATGCATTAAATGATTATTATCTATGGATTCATATATTTTTTATGGCCCTCGTTTGTGCATCACTTAAAAGTAATTTGCATCAGGCCTAAATGTAATAACGTGTTTGCTGATGAGAAAGGAACACGAGTTTAATGTATTCAATTAGAAGTTGTGGCAAATATGTCATGACACTTTACACTTCAGACACAAAATCACAATAAAGCCAACAAGTTTGATTTTTTCATCTTTTATTTCCAGGTTCTTTATGAAGCACACACTGTAGAGACCTTTGACAGAGGCAGACGCCCAAGACTCTGCTGTCGTTCCTGCTGTTGCTCCTGCTCCTCCTGTTGCTCCTCCTGTTGCTACTGCTGTTGCTGCTGCTCCTGCTCGTCTTCAGAGATGCAGAGCCCACTGTTCTAACTATTCATGACTGATGATTAAATAAAACATGAAAATATGTTTCTTGTAGTTCATATTGTAAATCTGTAGTGAAGCAGGAGGTGATGGAGGTGAAGCTGGAGAAACGATAGTGTGTTATTTTGTTGCTGTCAGAGAAAGTCAGAGTTCCATTTCTCCAGTAGCCTCTGAAAAAGAACACAAACATCATATTAACACATGGAACCCCAAAAATAAAATACAGAAATCCTTCCTGTATTAAATATTAGAAGTACAAGCTTTCACAGCAGGAGAAGAAGAAGAATAATAAAACTTATATTTATCAAACTATTGTATGAAAAGTGCTTCATAATAAGCCAAATATATACAGTAAATGTAAATAAATATACAGTAGTCTCAGTATGGGATTAAAAACGATATACACAATCTATTTAATATGAATACAGATAACAATGGGCCTCATTCACGAATAACTTCGCATGAAACTTCTTAAATTTCTTCTCAAGTCGTTCTTAAGTAGATTTCTAAGAAGACCCTACGTGGGATTCATCAACGCGCTCGTAAGCCGCTGAATTGTTCGCAGCTGTCCTCTCAGATTGATGAATGCCAACTCCTCGTAAATTGAGCGCGCGTGCCCGGTGCTTCATTAGCATAGGTACTTAGCATATGTAACCGCCCATTAATGCCCATAAAACTGAGACTGAGAATAAAGTTATAAAATGTTGACTTAAAAGTCGAAATATTATGATCAGCACACAGAAACCAGGAGAGACCGCATAGACTGGAGAGACCTGACTGGAGAGACCAGTGCAGACCCGTATAGATCCATGGGAGAGACCAGTGCAGACCCGTATAGATCCATGGGAGAGACCAGTGCAGACCCGTATGGATCCATGGGAGAGACCAGTGCAGACCCGTATAGATCCATTGGAGAGACCAGTGCAGACCCGTAGAGATCCATTGGAGAGACCAGTGCAGACCCGTATAGATCCATGGGGGAGACCAGCGCAGAGACTCAGCACGGACCCCGCAACCTCCTGCAGCAGCAGTATATACAGTACCTTGCGAAAGTATTCGGCCCCCTTGAACCTTTCAACATTTCGCCACATTTCAGGCTTCAAACATAAACATATTAAAATTATGTTTTTGTCAAGAATCAAAAGCAAGTGGGACACAATCGTGAAGTGGAACAAAATTTATTGGATAATTTAAACTTTTTTTACAAATAAAAAACTGAAAAGTGGGGCGTGCAATATTATTCGGCCCCCTTGCGCTAATACTTTGTAGTGCCACCTTTTGCTGCAATTACAGCTGCAAGTCGCTTGGGGTATGTCTCTATCAGTTTTGCACATCGAGAGACTGGAATTCTTTCCCATTCTTCCTTGCAAAACAGCTCGAGCTCAGTGAGGTTGGATGGAGAGCGTTTGTGAACAGCAGTCTTCAGCTCTTTCCACAGATTCTCGATTGGATTCAGGTCTGGACATTGACTTGGCCATTCTAACACCTGGATACGTCTATTTGTGAACCATTCCATTGTAGATTTGGCTTTATGTTTTGGATCATTGTCCTGTTGGAAGATAAATCTCCGTCCCAGTCTCAGGTCTTTTGCAGACTCCAACAGGTTTTCTTCCAGAATGGTCCTGTATTTGGCTCCATCCATCTTCCCATCAATTTTAGCCATCTTCCCTGTCCCTGCTGAAGAAAAGGAGACCCAAACCATGATGCTGCCACCACCATGTTTGACAGTGGGGATGGTGTGTTCAGGGTGATGAGCTGTGTTGCTTTTACGCCAAACATATCGTTTTGCATTGTGGCCAAAAAGTTCGATTTTGGTTTCATCTGACCAGAGCACCTTCTTCCACATGTTTGGTGTGTCTCCCAGGTGGCTTGTGGCAATCTTTAAACGATCTTTATGGATATCTTTGAGAAATGGCTTTCTTCTTGCCACTCTTCCATAAAGGCCAGATTTGTGCAGTGCACGACTGATTGTTGTCCTATGGACAGACTCTCCCACCTCAGCTGTAGTTATCTGCAGTTCATCCAGAGTGATCAGGGGCCTCTTGGCTGCATCTCTGATCAATCTTCTCCTTGTTTGAGATGAAAGTTTGGAGGGACGGCCAGGTCTTGGTAGATTTGCAGTCGTCTGATACTCCTTCCATTTCAATATAATTGCTTGTACAGTGCTCCTTGAGATGTTTAAAGCTTGGGAAATCTTTTTGTATCCAAATCCGGCTTTAAACTTCTCCACAACAGTATCTCGGACCTGCCTGGTGTGTTCCTTTGTCTTCATGGTTCTCTCTGCGCTTTAAACAGAACCCTGAGACTATCAAAGAGCAGGTGCATTTATACGGAGACTTGATTACACACAGGTGCATTCTATTTATCATCATCAGTCATTTAGGACAACATTGGATCATTCAAAGATCCTCACTGAACTTCTGGAGTGAGTTTGCTGCACTGAAAGTAAAGGGGCCGAATAATATTGCACGCCCCACTTTTCAGTTTTTTATTTGTTAAAAAATTTAAATTATCCAATAAATTTTGTTCCACTTCACGATTGTGTCCCACTTGTTGTTGATTCATGACAAAAAATTAAATTTTTATATCTTTATGTTTGAAGCCTGAAATGTGGCAAAATGTTGAAAGGTTCAAGGGGGGCGAATACTTTCGCAAGGCACTGTATGCCATTGTTCTGTGCCCGTGGATAAAGAAATGCCCCCTATAAATAGGATGGGGTCACTAATACACGGCAAGATTTCCAATGTATTTGATAAAGCGTTGGCACATTTCATTTCAAAATGAATAAAAAAATAGGCTAAATTACCATTAAATATTAAATAAATAGGTACATACAGCAATATGACGGACATATCACTGTAATGTTGTTTTTTATTGAACTTCATAAACCCAGCGTGCGAACGTGTCGGCACTGAATGTGTGTACAAGTGCTCCTGAGCATTCGTAGGATTTGTACTTACCCAAGAGAAATTCTGGTTACGAGAAAATTTCATGAATGCCACAATCTTCGTAAAATCTTCGTAAGTAGGATTTACGCACAAATTTGTTATTAAGTACGGTTCATGAATGAGGCCCAGTGTTAGCATACTACTTTGTTAGCATACTACAGCTGCTGTCTCCATGGACTGTTTCCTCTGTGTAGCTTTAATATGTAATCGGTGGGTTTGTTTCTCCTTGTGACATTACAAATATTGTTCAGGGAAGTGTTAACGATTGCGAAAAGTTTAAATAACTCGAGACACCAACCTCCTCACTAGCCCTCCTCCGTGTCACGGTAGTTCAGTCCGCGGGGCTTACAGCACAGCTTGTCCTCCATAGCTGATGTGTTGTCTTCCCCCTCGGTCCTGTCGTCACTGTAGGAGACAGCTCCTATTGGTCGACGCTCGCGTCTTCTCCCAAAAAGTTCAACAATGTTCAACTCGAGCGTCGGTCGAGTTGAACATCAAAACGCTTGAAATCTCAAAACGCGCCGCGCGAAACACTCAAAGACGCGCCGCTCGGGACACGCAAAACGCGCCGCGTGATCTCTCGCCGCTCTTCGGCGTGCGTCCCCCATGTATTTTCTTTTTTTTTTTTTTTAAAGCTTTATTTAATTTTTCAAGGTAATATAATTCAACAAACAAACAAACAAGAATAAGTGTAGATACATATTTTAAGGGATACAGCAGATTGTGTGTGTGTGTGTGTGTGTGTGTGTGTGTGTGTGTGTGTGTGTGTGTGTGTGTGTGTGTGTGTGTGTGTGTGTGTGTGTGTGTGTGTGTGTGTGTGTGTGTGTGTGTGTGTGTGTGTGTGCGCGTGTGTGCCAGACATGTGCGTGTGTGTGCAACATTATTATTAATATGTGGCCTAAAAACAAAACAAAACGGTCAGATAATAAGCATAGTACTGGATGAATAATGGCAATTTTTAACCTAATAGGTAGATAAGACATGGGATAAATTGCAGTAAAGGAATAGTACCGTAGTAAATGCATAATGAGACAAGTAGGAGTAATAATAAGGATAAATAAATGATATCAAATATACAAAAAAATAATAATAAATAAATAAATGGACCAACCGATATACCCAGACACAAGCATATGCTTGTAGCTATGGATGAAGTGTTTAAACTATAAGGCTTGTTGGAGGCAGTAATAGTGGCAGCAGAGAAGAGGAGAGCAAAAAAGTGTATCTATACAGATATATACCTATATATACATATATATCTGTACCTACGAATATACACATGCACCTATATACATACACAAAAATCATATGTGTACAATACAATACAATACAATACAATACAATTTATTGCTGTATAGCCCTAGGTCACAACAGAAGTCATCTCAGAGGACTTAACAAAACCATTGAAATCACCAACACAGGTCAGAGAATCAACAGTTAAAACACATGAAAAATCTAGAGCACACACAGAAGAAAATGTCCATACATGTTGTAGAATGCTAAAGTGTCCTGATCATCACCAATCCTTTCTGTTGGACACTAACTGTCCAACAAGACCCTCCTGCATTGGCAAGGAAAAACTCTTAAAAAACCCAGTGGGAAAAAGTGGGAAAAAGTGAGAAACCTTGGGGAGAACTATAGGGAAAGGGATCAGCTCCTCCGGACGGACAGGCTAATGATCCAATACACATACACATATATGTGTACACACATACACATATAAAATACAGAAATTATATCATATAGGGTTATCCAAATAGATATATTCAGACCATATTTAGAAATTTGAACCCCTTCCACTTTCCATATGTCTGGCCCCTCCATCTCCCACCGTGCCTGTATGTGTAGTGCATTAAAAACATTTGTGAAATGTGGTGCATTAAAAACTCAGACATCCCTTGGTAAGGGATTTAGGGCCAATTGTATTGAATTGAACTGAATTGTGAGTGAGACTCAGGTTGTAGAACGATTTCATGATATAACAAAATCATATCAGCTTCCAAGCTGGTACTCAAAATGTATGTTTTTTTTAATTCAGTCTAAAATTATTTTTATTTTAGAATAAAAAAATCTAAATTCAAGACATTTAAAGATTTTTTATTTTATTTTAATTTGAAAAACATCAAATCAACTAAAGGAGCAGATTAACAACTGAATAATTAAATTTTAGAACAGAAAAGTGAAAGTGGTCTACTTTTATTGAAAAAGATGTTAAAGCTTTCAAGGGATTTAATGATTGCGACCACCAACATTGCAGCTTCAAAAAAATGTATGCTTTTGAGTCGAGGATTACAATACAAACAAAAGTTGGAAGTAAGGCAGACACTGAATGAATTGAAAAGACAACTACACATTTGAAAGCCAGATCCATTCAGACCTCTGAAGTTGGGCAGGGTGTGGTTAGTACTTTGATGTGAGACCTTTGGGAACACCAGGTGCCACAGTGGGGCGGATACAGCTGTAAAGTGCCAAACTGTCGTTGTGTCCTCTGGCAAGACACTTCACGCCCATTGATTAGAATGAGTCTGGTGTTCATTTGGTTGGTGGTGGTCGGAGGGGTCGATTGCACATACTGGTTGCCTCGCAGCTGTGGCTACAGTAGTAGTTTATCACCACCGTGTATGGAGTGAATGAATAATGAATGAATGAAGTAAAGCGTCTTTGAGTGGCCAAAAAGCGCTGTCTGAAACCATTACATAATATTATTATCAAACTGAAATGGTGGATGGTTTAATCTTGGATGCATGTACTCACTGTGGGCTTGTCTGTTCCAGGACCGCAGCAAAGACCCAGAGTCAGCCAGCAGAGGGCAGCAGGAGCTCAGGCAGCAGGCAGCCTAGACAGGTACCACAGGAAAATAGTAAACAGTAGCTATAATTTACTCTTTTTTTATCATTCTAACACAGATACAACAGACATTCAAAACAAACAGTTATGACAAACATACACAGTACAAGACATACAAGAGTACAGACAGGGACAGTGAATAGTGTTTTGTGTAGATGTGTGTGAATGTACTTGACTCTGTGCGTGAGTGTGTTTGTGTGAGTGCATATGCATTGCTAACAAAAATAACAAATAATAATAACACTAATACCAATACCACCACCAATAATAACAATAGAATTAATGATCATAATTCAAACAACAGGGAGGTGGCCGACAAATTCAGATTATCACTGATTATGATTATCAATTCTGCTCCCTGATTCCCCATCCCCTACCATGTTGGTTTCTGTCCCTGCTTTGTGCTTTTCCTTATGTATAAGTGTCTAATGTGCATTAAAAGAGGACGGATTTGGAGGGTGCCGACCTAGGATAGCGGTGCCAAGGACACTTCTCATCTGTCCTGATTCCTTTGAGTCTGTTATGCCGCTTTTCCACAGTCACGGTACGGTACAGTACTGCACTGCATAGCGCGGTTATTTTGCATTTCCACTAGGGTTGGACTTGGGATCGGGAGTACTTTTTTCGTACCACCTCGACAAGCTACACCATGACGTGACGTTAGCCGACTGCCTTACACTGATTGGTCAACGAGTGGTAAAAAAGAAAAGTATATGAATTAATGAATGAGCGAATTAGTTGATATATCTTTAGCTGTTAGTGATTTAAAGATGGAGAAGGTCCGGCAGTGTTAGAAGTGAGGAGTTGGACTCTGAAGGGTAATTGCAGGGGGTGATGATGAATATTCTAATGCGATAAAGTCTGTGAGAAGGTTTTTCCAATGGTTTACGTATGTTATTACGGGATTTACATTTCAAGATGGTTAGAGCTATCAAGAGTATTTTTGAGTTTATGGATGTATCGGAGAGCATTGATCGATCCCCTAGCATGACAGGGGGAGATAATGGGATGTGGCAGCCCAGTAGAAATGATTGTGACCGTGTGACCTCTTCCCAAAAGTGTTTCATGGGGGTGCAGTTCCAGGTAGCGTGGATGTAGGTATCAGGACAGTTCTGAGTGCAGTGTGGACAAATGTCTGATGTGAAACCCATTTTAGCTAGTCTGCTTCCGGTGTAGTGTGTTCTGTGCAGTGTATTGTATTGTGTTAATTGAATGGTGGCATTGTTGGACATGTAGGAGATTATTTTACAAATTTGGGACCAGAAGTTAGCATCGGGAGCAATTGACAGGTCATTTTCCCAGTTTATTGATGGCAAGCATATTATTTGGTTTGTATTTGAGATTGTGAGATGTGTAAATTTTAGAGACAAATTTTCTTGCAAATGAAATGTTGACCAAACTGATATGACAGGTGTAGGTTGTAGGTGTGATGATCCAATGTTTATTTTTTAAGCCGTAGGTGTTTCAAAAATTGATTGCTCCCGATGCCGAAGTTGAAATGCTTTGAATGTGTTTGACTTGAAAATATGGTTAATGTGAGTAATACCCTTTTCAAGTGTTTTTACTACTTGTGACGTCGGGGTTGTTCCATGGTGGAGTGAGGTTAGAAGAGGCAAGTATTCAGTTTGTGATGTGGTTTCCACCAGGCTGTCAGAGCCGAGGCTATTGTTATTGCTTTGGTGCCTCTAAACCAGCGTGGGTTTTTTGTGTTTGCAATGAAGTGAGTTTAATTCTGGAGTTTTGTTTTTCCAGTAAAATTTTGATAAAACTGAGTCAAGTGATTTAAACCAGTTTAGTGTAGGATGTGTTGGAATCATTGAGAATAGATCATTTATTTTAGGTAGGATGGTCATTTTTATAACAGCTATTCTGCCAATTATTGAAAGTGGTAGGTTGAGCCAGTGGATGAAGTCTTGTTCTATTGTTTTTAATAATAAAGCTTTAATGTCATCAACTCTGACAGCCTGGGGGAGATTTTTATGCCAAGGTAAGTGATGTGAGTGGTGCATAGGGGGATGGGTGATTGTTGAGCTGCCACATCCCATTTAGTTTTGGATAAGGACTTATTCCAGTTCATTGCATAATTTTTGAGAAGGACTGGATGGTTTTGATGATTTCCTGGGTGGTGGTTTGGGGGTCTTGTATAAATAAAAGGATGTCATCGGCGTAGAGAGAAATCTTATGGGATTGAGACAATTCTATATCTTTAATCTTTTGATTCTGTCGGATAGTGGCAGACGTTATTATTCACTGTTATCATGGTGAATAATAACGTGAGAGTGGACATCCCTGCCTAGTTCCATGTTGTGTAAAACTTTGTGAAGTTAGTCCATTTGTTGTGACGGTAGCAGATGGTGACGTGTATAGAATCTTAACCCATTGGACAAACAACTCTCCAAAGCCAAATTGTTTGAGTGTGGTGAATAAAAAATTCAATTCACCCTGGCGAACGCTTTTTCAGCATCTAGTGTGGCGATTACTGTGTCTTTCTGATGTATTGTACTATAAATATAATAAGGCATAAACATTTTAATAACAAAATAATACAATCTTTATACACATTAGACATATTACTGTGCCGGTCATAAAGCGTTCTGATCTTTAAAGTGACCTGGGTTAATGAAGTAGTAATATTACTGATTGTAGTTGTCTCATTCTCCAATGTTCATGTTTTTCCATGTACTGCATAAAATATATCACATTCTGAAAAATGTAAGTAAATATTGTGTTTATGGAACTAAATGAACACATGAGGCAAACTCAATGACTCCCTTGTTCCTGACCAGAGACTATATGTATAGGGGAGAAACTGACATAACCCATAATGTTTGATAACAGAAGAAGCCAATTTGAACGTCATCTCGCTGGAGCCAATTTCCTTATACGGGCAGACAGATAGAAGGTGACGCCCACAATGTGGTAATGTCTGTCAACATGCTAAATGTCCTGTTTTTCAAATCACCAAAAGATAATACATTTGTCTTACTAGTGCCCGCTATGTGCCCATATATGTGCCCATATCACAGAGACATAGTTTCAACCTGGAGAGACTACAAGAGACGAGATGCGTTTAAGAGTTGTTTATTTTATGGATTGAGTTTGTTTATTGGTTTGGAGCTTAGGCCCCGGCTGTGGCCGTGCTCTGAAGAGATCTGCGCCTGGGTGCAGATCATGATCCCCCGGGGCCTAGACACTGGTGGTGGCAACAAGGCAAGGTGAATGTGAGAGTGAAGAAGTCCTGAGGCGGAGGTGGGGAGGAGGTGGTTGCAGCTTGAAGTCCGTTTGGTGAGCTGTGCTCTGCTTTGCTCTTAAACGCTGGCTTGATTGACACAGCTGCGGGGAGTTGATTAAGACGGGCTGAGTAAGGCGTGGTCAAGCCTGGTGTGATAACGTAGGTAGTCTACCATCCTGAACTTCCGCTTAAGCTGTATTTCAACCTGGAGAGACTACAAGAGACGAGATGCGTTTAAGAGTTGTTTATTTTATGGATTGAGTTTGTTTATTGGTTTGGAGCTTAGGCCCCGGCTGTGGCCGTGCTCTGAAGAGATCTGCGCCTGGCTGCAGATCATGATTCCCCCCAAAAAGAGAGCTTGGCTAGCGATGCGTTTGCCATGACTTGGTTGCTGCGTTTATGGAAGGCGCATGCTGTGAGTGTTTCCGTGAGCGAGCTCGGCTCTAAGCTAGACCCAGAACCTGTCAACCAACATCCTCCTGCGGTCAGGGTAGGAGGCTGTTGCAGTCCGTCCACTCCCACACTCATCCACACACACCTGTCGCAATAACCGTTGGATTATCAATACAAGGACACTCCATAACAATGAACATTTAAGCCCACATCGTTGTGGCACCCCACTACATGGTTTTGTGTGTGTGTGTGATTGTCACGACCTGTGACCCATGGTTGGGAACCATTCTGGACATTTTTAAAAGTACTGCTGCTGTATTGTTGTGTTGTTGAACTGTTGATCTGCAGAACTGTATATATATATTTGCACTAAATGTTGTTTGTTTTTCACTGTAAATACATGGCACCCGCCGGTAACCAGTCTGTCTCTTGAGTGTAATATTACTTGCCTCACACCTCCCAGAGAGCCGTATCTAGTCCTCTGATCTAGTCCAACGAACCCATTTTTTCCTATACTGTCCTATCCCTGGCATAACGTTACTCTTATATGCTACATAAATGTGGCGAGCTAGCCAGGAGGTTGAGAAAAGTAGTAATATTGTTTTGCATCAGACTCACCAATTCAGCAGCATGGACATTTTTGAGTCCCTTGAGATAAAAATATCAAACGCAGTTATTGTGAGTGGTAACCCCAAGTGTCAAGTTGATGAGGTTGAAGAATTTTTGGAACAGTACGGTGAAATTAAGCGTTCTCTTTTTGTTAACGATCCTGATAGTGAATTTTATGACATGTTAGTGGTGGAGTTTAAACCTGGTTCAACTTTTGATTTGTTGGGTCCGATATTGCCGTATACGTTTAGGCCTACACATTATGAGTACTGTGTCAAAGATTTATCAAAACTTTACGCGACTACTATAAGTGAGACCAAGACCAAGACTTATCTAGCTGACTTAAAGCAAGTAGCTGAGATGTCTGGACAAAACTTAGCTCAGATGTTACAAGAGCTCATGACCCAAATAAATAAAGTTGTTATTGAACCGTCCTCATCAAATAGGCTTATAACAACACAGGACCCATCACCAGAACCCAAAATGGCCGCCCCCCATGTTCCTGCAACTGCAAACACCAATATGGCTGCTGCCTCACCTGCTCCACCTGCTGCTGGAACCAGCAATAGACATTCAATCAATATAACTGCTGATGATTTGAATCCTCCTGAAGTGCAGAGGTATGTGGTCGAGCATATTGTTAAAAGTGAGGATGCTGTGTATGAACGCTCTTCACACAGATTGAGGATGTTTTTTGGACGTGTCCCGCGCCCACAGCATGAGGTGGACTATGATACATGGCGCTCTGGTGTGGACCTCATTCTCAAGGATCCATCTATATCAGAATTCCAGCGATCCCGACACATCCTCGACAGTCTCCTACCACCTGCTGGCGACGTAGTGAAACATCTCAGCCCCGACCTGCCGGCAGAAATCTACATTCAACATCTGGACTCAGCATTTGGAACAGTGCAAGATGGGGAAGAGCTCTATGTTAAATTTATGGACACACTACAGGACTCTGGTGAGAAACCCTCTGTATATTTACAGCGACTCCAAGTAGCCCTGAGTTTAGCATTCAAGCGGGGAGGAGTGAAACTGGGCGATGTGAACCGGCACCTGCTCAGCCAATTCTGCAGAGGATGCTGGGATAATAATCTCATCTCTGAGCTCCAGCTGAAGCAGAGGAAGTCTAACCCACCTTCATTTGCCGAACTACTTCTTCTGTTGAGAACGGAAGAAGATCGTGAAGCCAATAAAGCTCAACGAATGAAGCAACACCTGGGAACATCTAAACATAGAGTTGCTGCTCAAGCTCAGGTTGTGGTGGAAGAGGATGGGGTTTGTGCTGCTCTGTCATCGCTTCAAAAACAGATGGCGGAAATGCAGCAGCAGCTGGATGCTCTCACTGCCTCCCAGTCTTTACATTCTCGTCCCCGATACGCTCAAGGAAGCTCTTCAGCCCCAATGCCCCACAGAACACAAAGAAATTGTCCAAATGTGAGTACATCAAGTCAAAAGCCAGGTTTCTGTTTCCGGTGCGGTGAGGAGGGACGGTGAGGAGGGACGCATCAGTGTGAGAACCGTCCCAACCCAACACTGGTCGACTCGAAACGCAAGCAGTTCAAGGAAAAGCAAAAGTGGCAGCAAAGTAGGAATTTACAACATAACAACCATTTAAACTAGCACCAGTTCCTGCAGGGGGACACCCAGGAACTGTGCAGGGCCCACACTGTCCCGCTAAGAAGAAAAACGCTAGTTGTGCGGAACTACAGCTGCCCAGTCCAGGGCCAACGGTAAAGTTGCCTAAAGGACTGATTGGATCCCGATGCACAGCTGAAGTGAACATTTCCGGTCACTCGCACCAGTGTTTGCTCGACACTGGATCTCAAGTGACCACTATCCCTGTTTCTTTTTATAACAATCATTTGCATGAGGAACAAATCTACCCACTCCATGATCTTCTTCACGTTGAAGGAGCTGCTGGCCAGAATGTCCCGTATCTTGGGTATGTCAAAATAACAGTGCAATTTTCTAAAAACTTTGTCGGAAAAGAACATGTTGTTTCCACACTCGCACTAGTTGTCCCAGATGCACACAATAATGTCCCATCTACTGTCCTCATTGGCATGAACACCTTAGAACCACTATATGAGCACTATATTAATGATCAGTCTACATTTCAACCCAATACACACGGGTACAGAGCTGTCCTGAAGACGCTACAGCTGTCACACCAACAAAAGGATCAAGGGAACATTGGAGTTGTAAGACTTTTAAGTAAATCCCCAGTGCGTGTCCCGGCCGGCCGCACTATTGTCATCGAGGGCTCGGCCAAAGTCTCTTCATCTCCGCCATTCCAGAGTGTTATCCTGCAACATCCTGCCTCCACTTTGCCTGGTGGGGTGTGTGTCAGCAGTTGCCTCATATCTCTTCCAGCTCTTCCACCATTCAAAGTTCCTGTGGTCGTTACTAATGAATCAGAGCAAGACACATTCATTCCACCGCACAGTATTGTTGCTGAACTCGAGCCATATCATTGCATCATCTCTGAACAGCACATAAGCTCTACATCCGGCGAGAAGCCATCCTCCAGCCTCAACATCAACTTCGGCGAATCTCCACTGTCACCGGAGTGGAGGGAGAGAATCACGGACAAACTGAACGTCGTTTCAGAGGTATTTTCCCAACACGATTTAGATTTTGGACGCACAACAGTTGTTAAACATAACATTCCACTCCATGACAAGACGCCAATCAAGCAGCGTCCCCGGCCTGTCCATCCGCAGGATATTGAAGCTGTCCGCCGCCATCTCCGGGAGCTTCTGGAAGCCGGTGTCATAAGGGAGTCGTCATCGCCTTTTGCATCGCCTATTGTGGTGGTTCGAAAAAAGAATGGTGATGTCAGATTGTGCATTGATTACAGAAAGTTAAACTTACAAACAATAAAAGATTCATATGCTTTGCCCAATGTAGAAGAAGCATTTTCAGCTCTGTGTGGTTCCAAATGGTTCTCTGTGATAGATTTAAAATCCGGTTATTACCAAATCGAGATGTGCGAAGAAGATAAAGTAAAGACCGCTTTCGTCACCCCTCTCGGATTTTGGGAGTTTAAACGTATGCCCCAAGGAGTTACGAACGCACCGAGTACATTCCAGCGCTTGATGGAGCGATGCATGGGTGACCTGCATCTGAAGGAGGTACTTGTGTCCCACAAACTGGAATTTCTTGCTCTTAAATGGAGCGTGACCGAGAAATTTCAGGATTATTTGTACGGCGCAGAGTTCACAGTGGTTACCGACAGCAACCCTCTCACCTACCTCCTAACTTCCGCAAAGTTGGATGCTACAGGACATCGTTGGTTGGCTGCCTTATCCACTTACTCTTTCAAATTGCTGTACCGGGCTGGTAAGCAAAATTATGATGCGGATGCTCTCTCACGACGACCTCAACTGTGCTCCAATAACGAAACTCCAGACCATGAAGTTATTCATCAGTTTGTGTCTCAGCATACAGCAGACTCTGATGCTATCTCTGAAGAGATGGTGAACGCCATCTGCCACTGTCACTTGGTACGAGCCATGCCGTCCGAGGACCCAGGTCAGATTGGTTTTACTCTCATTGAGTCGCTGTCCATGAATGCTGAGGTGATACCCGATGACTTCAGCTCTGAAGGCGATGACCAGCCACCGCTGATCCCTACTCTCAACATCCGAGACAAGCAGCATTCTGACTCCTGCATTCGAGAGATTATTCATCAGCTTGAGACCGGGGAGAAGATTCCACCAATGGCGAGAGCTGAGTTGCCAGAACTTCCCCTCCTTTTGCGAGAGTGGTCAAAATTGGAGCTTGTAAATGGAGTGCTGTACCGGAGGAGACGAGAGGGTGAAGATCTATCGTACCAACTGGTTCTCCCAGAAGATTTACGTCCACTCGTCCTGAAAAGCCTCCATGATGAGATGGGACACATGGGTGTTGAACGAACTCTTGACCTCATCCGTACCAGGTTCTACTGGCCGAGGATGGCAATGGATGTCGAACAAAAGATCAGGAGCTGTGGCCGCTGCGTTTGTCGTAAAGCGCTGCCAGAAAGAGCTGCTCCACTTGTTAATATTAACACTACACGTCCACTTGAATTGCTATGTATGGATTTTCTAAGCCTCGAACCAGACTCCAGTAACACCAGAGATATTTTAGTTTTGACCGACCATTTCACAAAATTCGCTGTTGCTATCCCAACGCCCAACCAAAAGGCTAAAACTGTGGCAAGGTGTTTGTGGGAAAACTTCATCATTTATTATGGCATCCCAGAGCGAATACATACTGATCAAGGTCAAGATTTATTTACCCCCACAAACATCATATCCACGTGTTCCTTGAGTCCTTGGCTTCAAAAAGAGAGGTTCCATGAAGAGATAAGAGCAGTTTTCAGTCCGCAGGACCCTTGTGAAAAAGACGAACCGCATCCACTTGCAGAGGGTCCGTTTTTGCCTTGTTGTTGATTACAGGCTAGCGCAATGTGCTAGCACTGAATGATAGACGTGTCAAAGTAGCCAATAAAAAGAGCTTTCTTTTGATGGGTGGGACTTGTAGGAACTCTTCATTTTCACAGTAAAAGCGTGCGTAAAGACGCTGTTAGTACTGCTGCGCATATTTTATATGCATTTACACTACTAAAAAAATAATTTTGAAAAAATGTAAAAGAAAATCACACAGATTTGTAACTTATAAGTACCAAAACTAAAAAATATGCTTTTTATGATGGTGAAATGTTAGTAAAGCAGTTTGGCACAATTTGGCACACATTTTGCCAAATTGGTTCCGAATGGCACTACTTGATAAAAAAGAGAAACTGCATGAAAACTATATAACTTAGAAGTCTGAAACTTTACACAGTTTTTGTCAACAACACAATGAACATATTGGCTTACAAAAAATTTTTCTTCCAATGAAGTAGGCTTTTTTAGGTCATTTATACATTTATGAATTTTTTAAGCGAGGCTAAAAAAAACAGGTTTCTTTCCCAAACTTCAAAGGATGCATAGTAAAATAAGAATGACATACATTATTTCAGTGTATATTTACATAAACTAGAAGGGCCTATCTTTAAAATGATGCATCACACAAGCATGTGAGATGTGTTTTTAAATAAGCAAAGACATTTGGGTATGCCAAACTTTTGTGCACGAGCCAAAACAGATGTAGGAGTTTAAGAGGTTAACCGTGTGCCTTTTCATGGAACAAATTATGAATATTTAAATAAGCTGTGCTCAGTGCTGTGTGCTGAGGAATATAGAATCCAACCCTAACTTACCATTACTTACCAGACTACCATCAATGGTAGTGTGCATTGGAATCCTCACTCAGCATAATATTCACGTTCAGTTACAGGTTCCATAACACTCTGCCTCAGCTGTCACTATAGCAATACACAGTATATAGCACAAATATTTAACCAACAGATTTATTTATGAAGTTACTTGTAACGTTTTTTTCCAATATGGTGTGAGTGTTTAGACCTTGGTATAAACTGTTAAATCCTGGACTACAACTTTCCTGTCAACCTCTCCCGATGAATGAAGGCCTCTGATTGATCAATCCTTATGGCTCATATCTGAATCTACAAAGAACATTTGAAACTAAAAACACTAGTATCATAGAGAGCAAATTATTAAGCCCAAAATGAAATAGAGGATTAGCATGGTCCATCTATATGCAGTCTACGGTTCCGTGCAGTTTCCTCACAGTTTCTCGCCGTGTTCTCTGCAGAAGATGTTTGCAGCTGCCTTGTTCCAGGTGGAGCCGCACACCAGCCTCCTGTCCGCAATCAGGGGGTTGTGTTTGTTTGGGATGCTCAGCACGATCACATGGGACGTCCCCTCTTCTGCGCTGCTGTAGGTCAGGTGCTCCGCTATAAGCACAACCTCCACAGTGATATATTAAAATTCTTCTTTACTGTACATGATAAAGGGCACACTCACGTAAACAGGTGTCGGAAAAGTGGGACATTTTGGGGTCTTGGTTTCGACACCCAGAAGCCATCGCCTAAAACAGTTTTCAACAGGTAAAGGTTTCATCTTCCCATTTACCCTGAAATCACTAAAAGCCAGTATATGGCTCACTCCACACTAAACTTTACAATGCATCAATCTAACTTCAAGCGACAATACAATTGAACCAACATTTTTTGTACCTAAACATGTTTTAATACTATGTAGCTTATAGATATGCATAGGATAATCTCAGATGGGCACCTAAAACCATTTCAAGCAAAATGGATGCCTTTCAAAAAAATGTAATTCAACTTTGGGGACATAATTGTTACATTTAGGACATGTCAAAGGCTTTGGAGGCTTTGTGAATGGAAGAATTAACAGGACAGAGAAGACTATTTAATGGCTAAAGGTTGGGGATATACAGTGCCTTGCAAAAGTATTCGGCCCCCTTGAACCTTTCAACATTTCGCCACAGGAGGGGACCCTCAGGCGTTTCCCAGCCAAGCTGAGAGACATAGTCCCTCCAGCGTGTCATAGGTCTTCCGCGGGGCCCCCAGGTGGGACGTGCCCGGAACTCCTCCCCAGGGAGGCGTCCAGGGAGGCCTTCCGGAACAGATGCCTGAGCACCTCAACTGGTTCCTCTCGACGTGGAGAAGCAGCGGCTTCATACACCGAGCTCCTCCCGTGTGCTGAGGCTCCTCACCCTAATCTCGAAGGGAGCGCCCAGCCACTCTGCGGAGGAAGCTCATTTCGACCGATTTGTACCGCGATCTCGTTCTTTCGGTCATTACCCAAAGATCTTATGAACATAGGTGTGGGTGGCGAACGAAGATTGACGGTAAATTGAGAGCTTTGGCCTTTCGGCTCAGCTCCTCTACACCACAAAGGTCCGATTTACAGCGACCGCATCATGCGCATGCTGCACCGATCGCCTTGTCAATTCTCACGCCTCCAGATTCCCTCACTCGTGAACAAGACCCCGAGATACTTGAACGCCTCCACTTGAAGGAGGACCTCATCCTCCCACCTGTAGTGGGCATATGGCAACCTTTTTCCGGTCCGAGCAACATGGCCTCGGATTTGGAGGTGATGATTCTCATCCCAGCCGCTTCACACGCGGTGCAAACCGCCCAGTGCATGCTGCAGGGTCTGGTTCGTTGGAGCCAACAGGGACACATCGTCCGCAAACAGCAGAGATGAAATCTGTGGTCTCCAAACCGACGCCTCGGGATACCTGGCGTGCGCATAGATATTCTGTCCATAAAATACAGTGAACAGAACGTGTTGACAAAGGGCAGCCATGCTCGGAGGACAACATTTTTTGATGTAAGACCAATTTAACAGATTTTTAGAAAAGGCATCTGTATTTTCCTTATTGTGAGTAGATCTACTTTGTACCTTTGTTGGTGCTGTATCCTTTACGGAGACTTCTGCAAAGCCAGAGAAGATGAAACGCTGCTCTGGAGCAAAAAATGTGTTTGAAAAAAAATAAAAATTGTCTTTTGTCTTGGGTTTTTTGTATCACGTCGGAAGGTCACCAAATTGTGAATATACCCAGACGTAAGACAAAACGTGACTTCGACAAAACTGCAAAATAGAGTCTTTATTATCAGAAGGTTTGAGCGTAGTCTGAACAAGCATAACGCAGCCTCCCATCCTGTCTGGCTCTAGCAGAAGTCTACTAGTACAGGCAAAGGCTAACTCCTTATATACATTTAAATGATTATGTAAGCATATAGACTTTGGTAGATGACTATGCAGAAGAAAGCGTATGGTCAATGTTCAGTTGAGTTGGCCGAAGATGTCATAATTGTGATATAAGCATGTTTATGTAATGGACCAAACTCCAATGTACACGAGATAGCACCGTCCCATGTTATATACATCAATACCTTATCTGCTTTATGCTTTTGTAAGCAGTTCAAAGTACAGGTGTGCGTTTCCCAAACTCTACTGAACTTGTTTAACATGACATTTCAGCAAGCAAATAATTATTAAATATTCACATCATCCAGCCCAGACCAGTGGAACTATGTTCCTACAGATCTTAATCCTGCTGACATTGCGTCAAGATCTATCCCAGCGAATGCACTTGCATCAAGCACATGGCTTAACGGACCAGATTTCCTACTGAGAGAGACCACAGACGAGTCTCAAAATACTTTCAAGCTAGTTGATCCTGAGATCCGTGCACCCGTTACTTCCCTTGCAACCCATGTCTCTGACTTGTTCCTCCATCCTCAACGCTTCGAGTCATTCTCTTCATGGAGATCACTGGTGAGGACCATGGCAAGACTTGTTCATATAGTCAGATGTTTCAAGGGCATCTCTCAAATGCCGATATGCAAACTGATGAAGCACACCCAATCATTATCCCAGGAAACCACCATGTCACTACTTTACTTGTACGACACTACCACCAACATGTACAGCACCAGGGGCGTCATTTTACCGAGGGCGCAGTGAGGTCAGCAGGGTTCTGGATTGTTGGTGGAAAGCGAAGTATCAGCGCAGTTATTAATCACTGCATTACTTGTCGCAAACTTAGGTGGAACACTGAAACACAAAAACTGTCAGACTTACCCATCGACCGTGTAACTGTCTCCCCTCCATTTACCTATGTCGGAGTTGATGTCTTTGGACCCTGGACAGTTAGCTCTCGCAGAACCCGAGGAGGTTTAGCTCACACTAAACGCTGGGCCGTCATCTTTACCTGCTTGTGTACCAGAGCCATTCATGTCGTGGTTATCGAGTCAATGGAGTCATCCAGTTTCATCAACGCTTTGCGCCGATTCATCTCACTTCGGGGACCTGTAAAGCAGTTGAGATCCGATTGTGGAACCAACTTCTTTGGAGCATGCAAGGAACTTGGAATAACCTCCAAACATTGCAACAGCCAAGAAATTCTGGATTTCTTATCCGAGAATGGATGCACGTGGGTCTTTAACCCTCCTCATAGCTCTCACATGGGAGGTAGCTGGGAGCGCATGATCGGGACCGTGAAGCGCATACTTGACTCTATGCTATCTACCAACTCAGGTCACGTCTTGACCCATGAAGTTCTTGTTACCCTTCTAGCTGAGGTAACTGCCATTGTGAACTCTTGACCCCTCGTTCCAGTTTCGACTGATCCGGACTGTCCGTTCATTCTCACACCAGCCACCCTCCTCACCCAGAAAACTGGACCTTCATCTGTTCCGCCGGGAAATTTTGACAAGAACGACTTGTTCGGACGCCAATGGAGACAAGTCCAACATCTCGCCAACGTCTTCTGGCATCGTTGGAGAACCCAATACTTACCAACACTTCAAGAACGCAGAAAATGGCAATCTGAAAGGCCAAACTTAGAAATTGGAAATCTTGTCCTTCTAAAAGACAATCAAGCCAAAAGAAACCACTGGCCCATGGGGGTTGTGGTTGACACCTTTCCGAGCAAAGATGGAAGAGTCAGGAAGATCGAAGTGAAGATTGCTTCGGGTGGAACCTGCCGAACCTTCTTGAGACCAGTTACAGAGATTGTACTCCTCCTGCGAGACACTAAGAAAGACATTATTCATACAAAATAGAGATAACATCCTATGGACGTCAGAAGGGGAGTGTGCTGGTGGTGTAGTTTCACCCTCCACTTGCAGGAGCGCTACGCTCCATTCTGTGCCTTTGTTTACCTTACCTCTTAACATCCGCCTCATTTTGGCTCGTGCACAATGGTTGGGCATACCCAAATGTCTTTGCTTATTTAAAAACACATCTTACATCTCACATGCTTGTGTGATGCATCATTTTAAAGCTAGAGCCTTCTAGTTTATGTAAAAAAACACTAAAATAATGTTTGTCATTCCTATTTTCCTCTGCATCCTTTGAAGTTAGGGAAAAAAACCCAATTTTTTTAGCCTCGCCTAACATTTTCAATTTCTAAAGGCCCTAAAAAAGGCATACTTCATTGTAAGTTCACAATATTCAAACCCTCTGTTCATTGTGTTGTTGACAACGACTGTCTAAAGTTTCAGACTTCTAAGTTTTATAGTTTTTATGCAGTTTCTCCTTTTCATCAAGTAGTGCACATTTGGCACAATTTGGCACAAGTGTGCCAAATTGTGTCAAATATCTTTACTTACATTTAATCATCATAAAAACAATATTTTTTATTATTGGTACTTATAAGTTACTAATCTATGTGTGTTTTTCTTTTTTAAATGTCAAAGTTATTTTTTTATGAGTGTGAATTCATTGCAGATTCGAGAACGTCTTTTATCTTCCAGTACGCACAATTGTCCAGGCCCAACATAAGACAGGACACCATTGTCCCACCCCTTGTTCGAAAGCTTTCCTCATTGGCTACAAGGACATGTCAATCGTAAATCCCGGAAGTAAACTTAAACAAGTTGGGATCACAACAAAGATCAGTCACCAATGCGCAAACAGCAGCACTAGCGGTACTTGCGGGACCTATTGTAGACCCAAAAATTGGTCTAGCTTTTCGGGAGTAGTCTCATTTGAAAGATAAGGAGCTAAGGAACACGTAGATACCAGATGTTCGGGTGAAAAACAAAGCTAAAAGTCCGTTACAAGTGAAAGAGTAACATCTGTGCTCTTTTTTTTCGTTTTTTTCGCTAAAGATAAATGCACATTTTTGGATTATTTCTGCAGAATGGATTTTACTTTGGGAAATACAAGTGGATATAATTTTCCTTTGGACTGTTCCAGAGAGAATGATGTATTGCAAGCTGGGAGGAGAGCTGATTTATTTGTACAGCACAAGCCCAAAGGTAAAAAACTATTTCGGAATTGATTTATTTTGTGCCCACATTATGTGGTATATCTTTTGAATGCAAAGTCTGATGTAGTTTACACTTGTATATAAATGTAGATAAGAAAATAATCTTTAAAATGATATACAGCTTTTGGGGTTTGGTGATCAAAATACATCTGCTATTGCCAGCAGAACATTTAAAAACATAAAAACGGCCGCCGGCGCGCCGGTTGTTGCTAAGTGATTGGTTAAGAGTTAGATATCAGTACATTTGAGAAACGACACAGTGAGAAAGT